AAGAGATAGACTATAGGAAATAATAAATAAAAACATCCTTGAGTCACAGAATTAAAAGCATTAAGGCAATAAGTAGCAAAAAAATTTTTTTTAGGAAGAAAAACTGAAAAGTAGGGCAAACTTACATGGATTTGTGGTCTAGAAAAAATGGTTCCATCTAGATTCAAGTTGCAGAAGGCATATTCTGTATTACCACAACAGGAATATGGATAGAGATAGAAACTTCTAAAGATGGTAGATGGGCAGCTCAAATACTAGAATGAATGAGGATATTTATTGAGAGAAGTAAAAGAAAAAAAGCTTACATGGAAGATAGAAGTCTCACCCAAGATCCTTGCAAAAAATCTCCAGCAGAAGCTAAGAACCTGTTCACTGACATTTAACACAATTTTTCCTTAAGAGGACAGATTGAAGTAACAGATATTCAACCCAAAGAATCTCTTTTATCAAATATCTGCTGAATATTGGCCACAAGAGAATCTGAGTAACATCTATAACTCTTCTTCTTCTTCTATTTTTTTGAATTGGAGTTTCACTCTTGTTGCCCAGGCTGGAGTGCAATGGTGCAATCTCAGCTTATTGCAACCTATGCCTCCTGGGTTCAAGCAATTCCCTTGTCTCAGCCTCCCAAGTAGCTGGGATTATAGGCACATGCCACCACACCTGGCTAAATTTTGTATGTGTAGTAGAGACAGAGTTCATCATATTGGTCAGGCTAGTCTTGAACTCCTGACCTCAGGTGATGCACCTGCCTTGGCCTCCCAAAGTGCTAGGATTACAAGCATGAGCCACCATGCCCAGCCTATAACTTGTCTTAGAGTGCCTTTGTTAGGGAGTCTCTTTGATTACTCTGTTTATCTGTATGTCTGATAGATGAGACAGAACCTTTCTATTCTCAAATAAGGCAGGAGGAAGTTATAATTAGATTTTACCAAACTCACACTTTCTACCTTGAGGAAACTTTAAAGGCCCAAATCCCCTGTGCTGGGATGATTTTAGGTTACCCTAAAGGTTACCCCAACCCCTGTGTTGGGGATTGGATGGAGCTTCTGAGTAGAGGCAGATTTATCCTGAAGCTAATAATGAGAGAACTTTAGGGCCACCTCACTTGTATGACCTCAAAACAGAAGTTAATACTTTGAGTATGATCTGGGTTTTTTGTTCATATTTCAATGTTCTTTTTGATGTTAGAATAATCTCTATTAATTTTATCATTTTTATCCTTTTTGCTTCATACTCCATTACTCCATTATTTTTTGTCTGAACTTTCTTATTTCTTTAATAAATTTATTTCTATTATCTTAATAATAGAGATAAATCTATCTTTACTAATTTTATCATTCTTCATCCTTTTTGCTTTATACTCCATTATTTTTTATCTGAACTTTCTTAGTTCTTTAATAAATAAATGTATGTAAGACAAAGGAATCGTTTATACAGTCTAAGTCAGTGTGTATACTTTCCCATTTTTTTCACTGAAACATTTAAGAAGTGGTTATAGAATGGGTCTCTAAATATCCATAACAGGCCATTTCTTTCTGTCTTATAACAGGTTCTATGTGTGGACTTTATTGAGTTCTAAAGAATTCAGTCAATACTGCTGAGAACCCAGCTACAAATAACTCCCTTGCATATATTTTCTGGTTTCACCACTTGAGAGGTATATTAGTCAGGTTTCTCCAGAAAGATGAAACCAGCCGTCTAGGTATCCCTCAAACCAGTCAAGTTGACACCTAAAATTGACGATCATAAGACAGATTGCACCTCTTACCATATTCTCATTAAAGGAAAAAAAACTCAAGTAAGCATAATGTCCACTATTTATTTATTTATTTAGAGATGGAGTTTTGCTCTTGTTGCTCAGGCTGGAGTGCAATGGCACCATCTTGGCTCACTGCAACCTTTGCCTCCTGGCTTCATGTGATCCTCCTGCCTCAGCCTCCCAAGTAGCTGTGATTACAGGCACCTGCCACCATGCCCAGCTCATTTTCTTTTGTATTTTTTGTATTTTTAGTAGAGACAGAATTTCACCATGTTGGCCAGGCTGGTCTCGACCTCTGGACCTCAGGTGATCCGTCCCCCTCGGCCTCACAAAGTGCTGGGATTACAAGCATGAACCACCACGCCTGGCCATGTCCACTCTTTTTAGAACACTTTGGACATAAGTTTATCTTGGTAAATGTGTATTCTTTTGCTTAAAGACCCTTAAGTTTTAAAAGTTTCAGTACCACAAGGCATACCTCAGCTCCCAGCTCAGATTTCAATCTCTCATTGCCCGCTCTTAAAGAGTTAAGCAGTGTTAGCTTAAAGAATCAGAGCTGTTCAAATGATTTCAGAGGCTACCTTTAGCCAGGTGGCTGAAAGCTTTTTGGTTGTCATCTGGACATATATTGACATTGCAATTGATAGAGGATAAAGAGTGATTAATTATTGCAGACCCATCCTTTTTATATTGTTGTAATGAAAAGATTTAAAGTACTATACTGTCTAGACTAAGGAGTCTATCTAATCACATAATGTTCCGAGATCTGCCAATATTTGAGAAGAACAGGGAGTCTTCTCAAGTATTGGCAGATCTCGGAACATTATGTGATTCAAATGTAGGGAATTACTGTCAGGTGGGACTGGGAGTTGGGGAGGGTGAAAGGGGGTAGAAATTCAATACAGTATTTGTTAACTTCTTATAGAATAAAAATAATTAATTTTGTTTGCTTATTTTAATTATCATTTCCAATCAGATGCTCATTAAATTATTTTCTGTTTAAAATCCCAAATTAAGAGCCTTTACCAGGCATTGCTTATGGCAGAAACACCTAGTACAGGGACCAATGAATGCCTGGTTAATACAGTATTGCTTAAGAAAGAATGAAAGGAGGTAGAGTTTCGCTATTAACATAGTAGTGAAGGTCGCACCTCGAAGCCTTTAAACTTTTGTGAAGAAAATAATTAGGCCGGGCAGAGTGGGTCAGACCTGTAATTTCAGCACTTTGGGAGGCAGAGGTGTGTGGATCCTGTCTCTGCAAAAAATTAGCCAGGCGTGGTGGCCAGCTCCTATAATCCCAGCTACTCAAGAGGCTGAGGCAGGAGAATTGCTTGAACCTGGGAGGTGGAGGTTGAAGTGAGCCGAGATCGTGCCATTGCACTCCAGCTGGGGTAACAAGAGCGAAACTCCATCTCAAAAAAAAAAAAAAAAGAAAGAAAGAAAAAATAATTGGCAAACATTCTACTCTCCACCCTAGAGGGAATTTAGGAATTAATCCTATCTGGGAGTCACTCTAAGAAAAAAAAACAGAGTCAATATTAAAGGCTAATGTAATTAATTTCTTATTCAACTAGAACCTTCAGGCTGAAGAAGGAGGAAACTAAATGCTACTCGATATAATTATAGGGCTCAGAGAAAGAGAAGGTAGGGGTGTCTTGATAATTAAGAACATTACTTCCTCAATTTTTTTTCATCTGGTGGCCCCAATTCAGTGGATAGGTATATTTTCTTTGGCCTCGTCAGCATTCTAAAAATTGGACATTTCACATGTAATCTAGATTTCTGAAGAGAAGGAGAAAAATGTAGCAACACTGTCTGCATTCCTGCAAAACAGGATTTGTTGGGAGGCCTGTAACAACTGTGCCCTTTGCAAAGGCATGCAAGCTCATTCTGCTTTGCTTTGCCCTGATTCCGGTCTCTCCCTATTAATGACAGCAAATCCACTTCACTCATTTACATTACCTGCTTGAAGTCTGAATGCCTCAATTATGATTGTTAGTTCAGAATGCCCTATTCCCCCCATCGTAATGAATTTTCTTGGATATGTGTTTCACTTAAAAGTTATTTAATTATAGGGATCTGCTCAACTGTATCACATACTGATGTAAATATTGGAAAAAAAATGCAGCTGGGCCCAGTGGCTCACACCTGTAATACCAGCACTTTGAGATGCCAAGGCAGGTGGATTGCTTGAGCTGAGAAGTTCAATACCAGCTTGGCAACATAGTGAGACCTCATCTCTCTTAAAATTCAAAAACATTAGCTGGGTGTGGGAGCGCATGATTTTAGTCCTGGCTACTCAAGGGTTCTGAGGCAGGAGGATGACTTGAGCTTGAGCAGTTGAGGCTGCAGTGAGCCCTGATCATACCACTGCACTCCAGCCTTGGTGACAGAACAAGACTGTCTCAAAAAAAAAAAAAATTCCAAAAGAGCTTCCTTCATCTCCATTAACAATGGCTCAGAGCTGTTACTCCTCACCTGTTCTATAAGATGTGGGTATTCACCTGCTTCACTGAATATCTTGTCAAACCCTGGGGCTGCTTTTCTCTTTCAAGCCTGGGACTTGGGTGTTTATGTTAAAGAAGGAGGGAGAATGGATTCAGGAGAGGTGGGGTGTTCTAGGTAGGTGTAGGAATTTAGGCAGATGACTAGAAGATAGGGATGCTTGGAGGAGTGCATGTGTGTACCCAAAGACATGGGAACTGTGTGAAATGCAAAGAAACCCTGGAGGTGAGCTCTTTTGCAGGGCCCAATTCTTAGGTGCCTTTTCTTTCATTACTTAAGTACAACCTTTCCCCATCTATGTTATATATCTCTCCTGAAATTGCCCTAGCCTTTTAGTAGAGAAATTTGCACTTGGCTAAATATCTAGTATGGTAGCCTCGAGACTAAAATGATGAGTTAATGAAAGCAAAGCAGGCTTTTTTATTCTGTGAATCTTTGGCACCAGTGAAGGGCAGCAGTTCTGGCTAGGTCTTGCTACATAACAACCACCTCCAAAACTTAAAGCTGTAAAATAACAACCATACGATTATGCTCGCAACTCTGCTAATTGGGCAGAGTCTTTACAGGGATGCTCAAATGGCTGAAGGGTAGGGCAGCCAACCATGTATATGTCTCTCTTATGTGGTCTCAGGGCTGTTCCACACCGTCTTCTCATGCAGTCTTTCCAGCAAGGCAGCCTCAAGGAAGTCAGGGTTTTTACACAGCAGCTGAGGACTTCAAGAGCGAGTGCAGTGCTCACTTTGGCAGCATCAACTAAAATTGGAAAGATACAGAAAAGATTAGCATGGCCCCTGCCCGAGGATGACATGCAAATTCGTGAAGCGTTCCATATTTTTTATGTTTATTGAGGCACTGTTTACAATAGCAAAGACCTGGAACCAACCCAAATGCCCATCAATGATAGACTGGACAAAGAAAATGTGGCATATATACATCATGGAATACTATGCAGCCATAAAAAAACAATGAATTCGTGTCCTTTGTAGGGACATGGATGAATCTGGAAACCATCATTCTCAGCAAACTGACACAAGAACAGAAAATCAAACACCGCATGTTCTCACTCATAGGCGGGTGTTAATGAGAACACATGGGCACGGGGAGGGGAACATCACACACTGGGGTATGTTCAGGAGGGACAGCGGGGGGCGGGGAGGTTGGGGAGGGAGAGCACAGGGAGAAATGCCTGATGTAGGTGACGGGGGGATGGAGACAGCAAACCACCATGGCATGTGTTTACCTATTGCAACAATCCTGCAAGATCTGCACATGTACCCCAGAACTTAAAGGACAAAAAAGAAAAAAAAAGAGTGAGTGCAAAGCTTTTTGTGCCCTCACCTTAGAAATTGTAAAATGCCACATTTCATTGCTCAAGTAAGTCTGATGGATTTAAGATCAGAGGAGTTAAACAATGCCTCTCAATGAGAGAAGCAGCAAAAAAATTCATAGACGTACTCAAACTACCACTATGACCTTTTAAGCTTACTGAGTGCACTATAACATAGGTTTCTGGCATTTATGTTTTTGCCATTACAGATGGGTAATCCAGACCTGAGTTGGGAATTAGGGGGGATGATTCACAACACTACAGGAGAACTCTGTTGGGGAACCCACCTGACAGAGACAGTAAGATCAAACCTTCGCATTATTCCTGAGAGGGAAAGAGTGCTACCGTTAGAAAGGGAAACGGAGTCAGGCAGAATCATTTCTGTGAAACTTTTTAGTAGAAAGCAATGAATGCACTGAAATAATGTCAACATCTCACTTATTTTGCTAATACACTGGTTATTTTAAACATATGATAAAATGCTGAACTAAAAAGATTTCAGAGAAGACAAAGCAGTAGTATGAGGTCTAGATGCGAATGTGTATTTACTTATTCATAAGAGGACTCTTCCAGGTCTCATTTAGAGAGCTTGTTCACTCTTACTTTACTCACAATTAGAGTAAATAGATAAATACAGTTTTTTGGTACTTTAGTGGATGATAAAGTAGCTTAGTAGATTGGTGGAGAGAGATGGGTAATACTGTCAGAGGTAAGTTCCCTGACAGAAACAAGAAATTACTCAGCTGTTAAATAGCTTCCAAATCCCAGGATCTTTCCCCTCTTTTCCATACTCTGTACCTTACCATACAAAACTCTGGGGCCAGCTGGTCTTCCTGTATGGGCTCGTCTTCATTCGCAATTCCTAGATCAATGGAAACTTAAATACTTAAGGAACCACTTTTGGAAGCTCAGCATTTAGTCATCTCTGGTGTGGATCTGGCCCTGAAGTCTTGTCTCTGTTGTAATAACTGGGAATCCTTATTCCTGAGTCCCCTTTTCCCAATTCTCTTAATGGGGCTTCATCCTGGAGTCCTGTTTTCAGGTGGTTATTTGATACCTGATGTCTCAATTCCTCCTAGATTATGGTCCTTCCCATTCAGCAGTTAGCCACAGCACAGGAATGAACCCCTTGTTTAGTCAGTAGAGCTGTTTCACTTGGTGAAGGACATTTCTAGTGCCAGCCTCCTGGAAACTACTAGATTACTAAGGTTCCCTAATCCAAGACCCCTTTTCAGTTTTTACTCATGTTAGGAAACCCTGACTCTTCATCATGAATCCCTATGGCTAACTGTCCAGGCTGAAGAACTGAGGGAATGGCTAAGTGTTGACCCTACCTTTTTCACCATCTCAACATCTAGCGTTGGCACTGTCTGCTGGCTGAGCAGGTTGAATGCTGACGATGTAGATGCTGTTCCTCTGCCTGTCTGCCCCATCCTGGTTGGCTAATGGCCATGCCTTCATGATACTCTAGATATGACCTCAACATCCTTAAATTAAAAGAGCAGAAGAAAAAAAAAAAGAATGTTCATTGAACAAACACAACATCAAAATAAAGTGTGGAACTATTTTGTGAACGACTAAAAACCTTGAGAATAATGGTAATAGTAATGTACATTTATCAGCACATTTCTAAGCCTTTTACATATATGAAATAATTTCATCCTCACAACAGCTTGGTGAGCCAGTACTATTATTATTCTCATTTTATGGATGAGGACACCAGAGTGCACGTAACAAGTCTAGGTATACTCACTAGAGTTAGTGGGAGGGCTCTTTTAAACCTGGCCATCTTGCCCCAGAATCCTTACTTTTACCCATTTTTTCTGAGATACCTATAGATGTCAGTGCGTCCTAGACCAGTATAATAACCCTAGCCTACAATGATAGTTTTGAGACACCAAAAATACACAATTCTGTTCCAGAGGACAGAAATAATTCTCTTAAAACCTAATGGGGGCTGGTTGGTGGGAGAGCATCAGGAAAAATAGCTAAGGGATGCTGGGCTTTCTAACTAGGTGATGGATTGATCTGTGCAGCAAACTACCATGGCACTCTTACCTATGCAACAAACTTGCACATCCTGCACATGTACCCCAAACTTAAAAGCTGAAAAAAATTAATTATGAAAAAAAAAATGATACTTTAAGGGGCCAGCTTCTGTTATCCAGAAAATTAACTTATATAGGGCACTGTAACAGTGTTGTTACTGTTCTATGGCCTTTCACTTTTCCATGAGGTTTATTGAGTACCCAAGTCATTCCACATCTTTAATTTAGACCCCAATTTTTCTTTTTTTGAGAAAGAAACTCACTTTGTTGCCCAGGCTGGAGTGCAGTGGCGCAATCTTGGCCCACTGCAGCCTCTGCCTCCCTGGTTCAAGTGATTCTCCTGCCTCAGTCTCCTGAGTAGCTGGGATTACAAGTACAGGCCACCATGCCTGGCTGATTTTTGTATTTTAGTAGAGACAGGGTTTCACCATGTTGGTCAGGCTGGCCTTGAACTCCTGACCTCGTGATCTGCCTGCCTTGGCCTCCCAAAGTGCTGGGATTTCAGATGTGAGCCACTGTGCCTGGCCTACACCTAAATTTTTATAAGCCACATTTACTAATATATGAGAGGACTTGTTCATGGAAAATGGAATGAAAAGATTAAAAACAAAAAAAGAATAGATTATTTCTCAACATGGGCTTCATCAACTACAAGATACCTTTCTAAACAATACCAGCCATTTAGTCCATCCCTAAAGAACTCAGGGTCCTGGGAATTTAACCATGTCAGTGCAGTCTTTTTTTACATTACTAACTAAAATAAATAAATAAAAAAATTTTAAAAAGATGTCCTTTAAAGATTTTCTAAGATTAAGGCAGGGGGGAAGTCAGAAGGAACTAAATCAATACCATAAAGTACATGTCTGATGATTTCCTATATAAACTCTCACAAACTTGCCCTCATTTGATGAGGGGAACAAGCAGGAGCATTGTTGTGGTGGACAGGGAGTCTTTGGTGATGCTTTTCTGGGTATTTTCTGCTAAATCTTTAGCTAACTTTCTCAAAACTCTCTCATAGTAAGCAGATGTTTTCATTCATTGACCCTCCAGAAAGTCACCAAGCCAAATACCTTAAGCACCCCAAAAAAACTGTTGCCATAACGTTTGCTCTTGACCAGGCTATTTCTACTTTGACTGAACCACTTCTACCTCTTGGTAGCCTTGTTTTGATTATGCTTTGTCTTCAGGACCATACTGGTAAAGCATTGTTTCATCACCTGTTCCAATTCTTCAAAGAAATGCTTCAGGGTATATATATATCTATATAGTATATATATGTATGTATGTATGTTTGTTTGTCTGCCAAGGTGAACCACTCCTTCAGGATCTTGATCCCAGTTGTTTAATATTTGCATTGAATGTTCTTTCTGCAGCTGAACAGGGCACAATGCTTTGGCACTCATTGAGTGGAAAGTTTGTTCAAGTTTAATTTTTTAGTCAGAATTGTGTGATCTGAACCAACTGAGATGTCTGTGGTGTTATTGTTTCTGCTGTTAATCATCAATCCTCTTCAATTAGGGAACAAATGATTAATTTTTCCTCATGAAATGATGTGATGGTCTGCTGCTGTGGGCTTCGTCTTCAACATCATCTCACTTTTTTTTGGAGATAGACTCTCACTCAATCACCCAGGCTGGAATGCAATGACATGAGCTTGGCTCACTGCAACCTCTGCCTGCTACAGGAGTGCACCACCATGCCTGGCTAATTTTTGTATTTATAGTAGAGATGGCGTTTCACCATGTGGGCCAGGCTGATCTTGAACTCCTGACTTAAGGTGATCCACCTGCCTTGGCCTCCCAAAGTGCTGGGATTACAAGCATGAGCCACATACCTGGCCAGAGGTTTTTTTTTTTATATAATTTTTATTTTCCATGAATTTTTTGAAGACCCCCTTTCTATTTCTGGAGTATGCCAGAAACAATTTTATGTGTGGCTTAACACATTTTGATGCTATGTAATTTTTGTATTACGTAGCCTTTTAAAGTTTTTGATCAAGAATGATCAAAGTGGTATATTAGCTTCATATTTAGAGCCCCAAACTGAAAATGAATTATCAATATTTTCCCCTGTAACACATCTGTAGAATTAACATGATAACTATCAATTCCATTTTTCTGAAAGTTTGGACAGGTAATTAAAATCAACTTTGTTTTTCCCACTGTATTTTTCAAAAAAAGAAATTTCAATTACCTCACAATTAAGGCACAGTTTGTTACAGGTCATGACTTAATTGCCTCAATCTGGAGTTTACAGCCACATTATCTCATGAGCATTCAGAGCCTTTAGGCCACTGAAAGTCTAACTAAACAAAACATGCTGTCTTAAATATTTTCTGAGAAAGGGCAGTTAGGGGTAGATGGTTTCTTAGAAAAGAAACCATCCAGGACATTTAACCATTTCTTCTTAAGAAAGTCCGAAGATTGATGATGGTTGAAAGGTAAGCTAATGCATGGTGGACATGTCTTTTTTCTGGCCTCAGAAGAATTATCACAGTGAAACCTTTTAACAAATAGTTGGGCTCTAGCCCAGCTGATTAAATTAGAAGCTCAAGACCCTGGACATTGTGTATTTAAAATTTCCCTAGTGAATTCCGAAAAGCTTGAAAACACCAATCTAAGCCAGGGGTCAGCAAACTGGCTGCTGACCTGGCCACTATGTAAATAAAGTTTTATTGAAACACAGTCACATTCATTCAGATTATCTGAGGCTACTTTTGGTCTACAAGGGCAGAGTTGAGTAGTTGTGACAGAAACCATGTAGCCCTAAAAAGCTACAATGCTATCTGACACTTTAAGAAAAAGTTTGTTAACCTCTGCCGTAGGTTAATGTATTGATAATATTGCATTTGGGTGGTAGTATTCACATGTATTAAATTTGCTCAGAAGAACAAAGGAAAGAATTATATGAAGAATTGAAGAATTAAATGATTTCTTCCCTTAATTATTCTTCCAGAAAGTTGAACACATTGTCTCTGCTTATATCTCATTGGTTGAAACTGAGTCACACAGCCCTATCTAGCAGCAAGAGAGACTAGGAAATGTAGTCCTTATTCTAATGGCCATGTGCTCAGCTAAAATTCAAAGATTATTATTATACTAAAGGAAAACGAGAACACAAATATTGTGCAACTGAAAGAAGTCTCTTTCACATTGGTCTGTTTCATATTTAAACACCCAAAGTGCTGCAACAGGAACAGGAAGAAACATACCCTGAATGGGAAAACAAATAAAGAACAGGTTAAGATTCCATTTGCCGTTATCTCTTGTGTTAAAACAGTCAATCACTCAACTTCTTGGGGTGATTTGCTCACTTAGTAGTCTCTGATGCAGCACAGAAAATATTTTTCAGCCAGAAATCTCTCTGTATCAGGTATATGTTTGATCCAGATATCCAGAACGAATTGAACAGAGTCACCTAACGTTTGCTGCCTTATTGCTGGCTGGGGTGAGCATGTAATTTATGTACAAGGTAGACAGTTGAGAGCAAAAGAGGTGTTAATAGTTACCTGGACAACAGGTAAAATCTGGGAAACTGAGACAATAGTCATTCTAATTTTGATTAACTATGTGGGCATTTTAAAATCTAGGATAAAAAGAGAGAGAGAGAGAGAGAGGAAAAAAAAAAACTCAATGTGGAAGCTAGACCTTTGTGCCAGACAGATGTTATTACTTTAGTTGAAAGATATCAAAAAAAAATCCCCCTCGATGATATAAATATTCTTTAATTACTTTAAATTTCAAAAGAGTATGTTTTATCATTGAAAAGCTTATCTTTAAGTTGACCTAAAATGTGTGGTCTTTGTGGAGCCAGACAGCATCAAGGTAGTTCATAGATACCAAAAACTTGAGAAACAGTGTCTAAAAGAAAAAATTATTTTGAGAGTTTAAGAATTTAAAATCTCAGTATAGGTTAACAAAAGGCATGTCAATAAGTCTTGGCAACTCTTAACTCTTAATATTTCAGAATCTCCTTCCTTCTCTCACGCTACTTCCCTGTTGTCATTATTATAATTGGATTCCTTTTCTCTGATGTATTTGTCCCCCAAATCCATGGACCACCATATTCCCAGAGCAAGATTTCTAAAGCACAAACTCAGTCATGTGATTTTCCTTTCTGGTATCTTTCTATGATTCCCCATGCTCCCCATTGTCCTTCAGGGTCAAGTCCAGACAGGGTTACATACAAACAAAAATGTGGGGCTCCTTGTTCAAAGCAGGAGTAATTGTGCCGTTTAAGGTAGTAAAATAGAAAAGATTTTTTTTCTTTCTTCTCTGATATGCCTTTCAATTTTTCATGGTATTTTTATTTTCTATTTAATGTTCTAAGTTTAAACACTAAAAATTTAAATTATTGGAACAAAATTTACCATTCTTTTTTACACTGTGAAATGCCAACTTTAAATATAAATATGAAAGCATTTACCTTAAATGCAAAATCACTAAAATTACACAGTTGTGTTTTATGTATGCGTCTGTGAAAATGGTGCACAAAACCAGCTCAACTGTTTGTATTTCACTTCTTGGTTTGTGCACATCCCACTAACACTCTCTAGTGGTTATCCCACTTTTCCTTTCTTTCTGTGTCATCATTTTCTACATAATACAGGGAAGTAATGTAGGAAAAGGTATGATTGGGCTCCTTAGTCGTTCCTGTTCTTATGAAGCAGCTGTGGTGTGAACAGAAAGCCTGGCTTCTCAGAGTAGTCAGTGTTCCACTTTCTTAGCTGTACATATTATGCACTTACCTTGTACATCCTTGCAGTCATGTCATGTTCCCATGCACTGTGGGTCTGTTTACCTGAATTCTGTGCTCATGGGGCATCAGGTATGCTAAATGTGAATGGGACAGCAAGAAACAACATATACACACAGTCTGTAGTCTTTCATGACCATTTCCTTCTTCATATCATCATGCTTTTGAGATTCACACGTAGTATATCAATAGCTCATTCCTTTTCACTGACGAGTGGAATTCCATTGTATGGATATACCACAATTTGTTTAATCCATTCAAGAGTTGAGCATTTGCCTTGTTTCCAGTTGTTAGCTATTATAAATAGCTACTATGAACATTTGAATATGAGTCTTTACAGATATGTTTTCATTTCCTTGAGTAATTATCTAGCAGTGGAATGGTTATTTTGTAGGTGTATTTTTAACCTTTAAATAAACTTTCGAGTGGTTTTCCAAAGTGTTGTACTATTTCACATTTCCCCCTGAGGTGTTTGAGGGTTAATAATTACTCCATGTTCTCACCTACATGTGGTATTTTCAGTTATTAATTTCTAGTGACTCATGATATTCACTGTAGTTTTAATTTGCATTTCTCTGATATCGAGTTGAATTATTTCCTAATGCCTTTCAATACTTTCAGAACGTCTATCTTCCCTCCCTGACAGAGGCTGCATATTTCTTTTATCTTTTTTTTAAAATTTTTGGATCTCTGTGTGTTTATTCATTAAAAACATTTTAATGGGGTATTTCAAAGCTAAGTAAAGCTAGTGAGTAACAAACCCTTATGGACTCACCCTCATATGTAAGAATCATCAAAACGAGCCCCTCATTTTTCATCTATTAACACCTTTCAAATTCACCATAACCCTACCCACCCCCACACTAAATAATAATAATAATAATAATAATATTTGAGATGGAGTTGCACTCTTGTTCCCCAGACTGGAGTGCAGTGGCAAAATCTCGGCTTACCACAACCTCCGCCTCCTGGGTTCAAGCGATTCTCCTACCTTAGCTTCTTGAATAACTGGGATTATAGGCATGTACCACCATGCCTGGCTAATTTTGTATTTTTAGTAGTAGAGACAAGGTTTCTCCATGTTGGTGAGGCTGGTCTTGAACTCCTGACCTCAGGTGATCCGCCTGTCTCAGCCTCTCAAAGTGCTGGGATTACAGGCTTGAGCCACCGCACCTGGCAACATTGAATTATTTTAAAGAAAATCTGGGACAGCATCTTTCTTGTGTTTGTCTAGTGTTTAGAGAAATACCCAAAAAGAGGGAGACACCCAAAATTTATATGACCAAATATTCTGTTTATATTTACCCTACTTTATATTATGATCTTTCCTTAAAGACAGACCATTACTTTGAGGCAGCTAATTAATGGCATAAATGGTAAATTTAAACAGGAATATCATGAGCTTCTTTCCAAAACTACCAAATTGGCATCTGGTCTCTGTTGTCAGAGGGATGGTTGAAGTTGAGAAATATTAAAGTTTTCTTTGAGCTGATCAGCATCTTGATTACTTGCCAAGATTTTTTAGTTATGAAGCAGTGTCTTTGGATAAATCAGCCATGAAAATGAGCTTTAGCTATGGCAGATTTCTAGCCCTTAGAAGTTGTTTATGAAACTCTGTATTAGGGTGAATACTGAATAGTCCATCACACCAATAATGGGGCTAGAACAAAATTGCTTGACTCTGGTTCGATGCTACTTTAATACCCTAAGTTGTAAAACTGGCTGTCAGAATGGAATAAACAATCAGAGGAGCCTGCAGCAGAAAATATTCTGGCCTTGATGATTGGGCTAAAGTAAAGCAGATGTAAGTCACATTTCTGGAGCTTGCTTTTTTTCTGAGGCATAATTCACAATGTAAAAATTCTCCAAGAAAACGGCTCTTCTGCTGGTTAAGAGGTAAATAAGACTGCTTGAGATGTCAGGTAAATATATCTTTCATATTACTCTGGTGTCCTCCTACAATTAACCCTGGAACAAAATACTTCTGAATCTTCTAGAACGTTTTGAAAAAAACAAACAAATGCCTAAAAGGAAGGACATGCTTTCAAAACCGTAAATTATGTGTGATAGCCACAGCTTTGTTTTCCCAAAGAATAGCAATTGGATCACTCCAAAAGCTTAATTAACAGCTTATATCGCTTCGTGACTTCCAGTTTGTTTCTGTTTTTTCCTCTCTAAGGTGAATCAGCCAAGGTAAGGTGTGCGCATTATTTGAAACAATTCTTTTACATAGTTGGCTTTTCATGCCATGGGCTGTGGAATATGTGACACAAAAAATATCACATTTTTAAAGTGGCAGTGTAACAATTTCTGTTAATCCTTATGTTGTGGTTAGATGCCAATAGCTCCATGAAGGCTGCAGTTTAAAATAGCAATTATTTTAAAGTATGTCTCTTTTGTACGCTGCTAGGAAATTGGATTATGTTTTCTGAGCCTCCTAGGAGCATTAGCCAAAGCATATCTAAAGCTTTTCCAGTATTATAAATCATCTTGGTAGGCTCACAGATATTGTATAATAAAGGTTGGGATTTCCCTAATCTTTTTAATGTGAAATTCATGTTTCTTTTTCTCCATTAATCCCTATCCCATTTCTGTGACTTCACTCACACATTAAATTTATCTAGGCTATCAGCCAAAGTGAAGTGCTTGTTTACCTTCTTCCTAAAGCCACTCTCTTCATCCAGATTACCCATGGTAGATTAGAACTCTGTTTTGACTTTGCTGCAAGAAAGCAGGTAGCTCAGTTATTGTGGATCATGTGTAGATGATAGGCTTATAAATTATCCACTTGTTTTGTTGGTATTAATTTTTAAAAGGAAGCTTTTCTTTGAAGAAACATATGTTAAGAGTTGTGAGAAAAATAAGGACCAGGCACAGTGACTCAGGCCTGCAATCTCAGGACTTAGGGAGGCCAACGTGGGCAGATCACCTGAGGTCAGGAGTTCAAGACCAGCCTGGTCAACATGGCAAAACCCGTCTCTAGTAAAACTACGAAATTAGCCAGACATGATGGCTCACACCTGTAATCACAGCTACTCAGGCTGGGGCAGGAGAATCATTTGAACCCAGGAGGTGGAGGTTGTGATGAGCTGAGATTGTACCATTGCACTCCAGCCTGGGCAAAAAGCAGAACTCCTCCATCTCAAAAAAAAAAAGGCCGGGTGCGGTGGCTCACGCCTGTAATCCCAGCACTTTGGGAGGCCGAGGCGGGTGGATCACAAGGTCAAAAGATCGAGACCATCCTGATGAACATGGTGAAACCCCGTCTCTACTAAAAATACAAAAAATTAGCTGGGCATGGTGACGCGTGCCTGTAATCCCAGCTACTCAGGAGACTCAGGCAGGAGAATTGCCTGAACCCAGGAGGCTGAGGTTGCGGTGAGCCGAGATCGCTCCATTGCACTCCAGCCTGGGTAACAAGAGCGAAACTCCGTCTCAAAAAAAAAAAAGAGTTGTGAGAAAAGTAAGGTAAAGTAAGACTTCTTTATATACTCAAAATGAATCAGACTGTTAGGACACATTTAAAAAACTGCTTATCATGGGGAATTTGTAGTTTTCACTGTGGGATGTATGCTTATACAATTATCTAGTATCTAATTTAAAAAATAGATGTCAGTGTATTTAAAATCTGAGTTCTATTTGACTTTGTGGAAACTCTCCCTGAACCTTATCCCAAAGTAAAAACCAAAAATAAGCAAATAAATAAATAAACTAAAACCACTCTAAAAAGAGCCTCAGCTGAATTACCAACACCATGTTTAAGGGGGAGAAATATTGTAGGACTAAAATCCATTTAAAAGTGATTTTTAGTACAAAATTAGAAAAGTAATTGTTATTCAAGAAGTTTGTTTTAATTTAGTAAGAGAATAGAATAGACACCATTTCAATAAATGTAATTTAGGTTTTTAGTTACATATTATTTGGTACAGATACAGCTTTGCATTGCATAAAAATAATCAAATTTCCTATCAGTTAATGTGGTGATTTTCTATTATATACTTTTGGCTATAAGTAATAGAATACCCAATTTAAAAGGCTTAACCAAAGTAAGTGGCAAAGTGCTTTCAGGATTGGTTTAACAAATCAGTAATATTAAGAGTTCATATCTTTCCATATTTCAGCTTTCCATCCTCAGAATATTGTTTTGGACCTTAGGCCTATTTAAATCTCTTGAATGTAAGAGTGTAGCTGTAGTTTAGGTATCACATGTAGAGACAACATGATCTGTCATAAAAGATGGATGCTTTCTTCCCACGTATCTTTTTAATAGGAAGGAAAACTTTTCTCAGAAGCTCCCTGGCAGACTTTCCTTTGGGTCATTTCTGCAGGGTTGGTTCACAAGCCCATAACCTAGCTGCAAAGAAATTTAATGAAAATGATGTGTGACATTTTAAGACTCTGTCACTGAATGGCATCTTGGCCAGGAAGGAAGAAATGGGAAGGAGGAATATGATGGTTAGAAAGACAACAGTCGTCTATCAGTAATTTATACCACATTTTATTGCTGTTTTGGTAAAATAATTAATAAGAATTAAGTGTAATTTATTTAAAGTAAACTTTTGTTTGCTTTTGTGAAGGAATTTGTAGCAATAAATTACAGATACTTTTTATGGGAGATTTATAAATTACTTCTAACTAAACCTCTTTACTTTCTCTCACATCAATTTTAGAAGTCTTTTTAAAACATTCTTAGAAAAAGAAAAGAAATCTTACTGTGACATTATAGTCCCAAGTCATAAAAAACAATAAGATGTGATGAATTTAGAAACCAAATCACAGATTCAATGGAATGTGGCGAAGACCGACTGGCTAGTGAAATGACTCAGAAACAAGGCCCTGAGCATAGACAAAGACACAATGGAAACCAATCAGATTAAACAAGCATCATTGCTATAATTAGATTCTGAAGCAGATGTAGAACTGAAAACACCAGGGCACCTGTTTTGTTCAAACCGAAGCTAGATTTTATAAACACTGAGAGGCAGAGGACAACAAGAAGTCATTTCTCTTCGTGGTCTTGATTCACATGGGAGACAGCTAGATTTTCCAAGAGTAGGGTTCCATTCAGAAAAAAGTAGCAGTGATAAAGACACAACAAAAACAACAACAAAACAAAAATTTTACCTTCTTTTGAATGTGCCTATTATGAAATATTCTGAAAACATATTTTTCTTTTCCCAGTTTTTTAGTTTTATCTAGAAAGAAAACAGACCCTCCCTCCAAAGCAGACTTTGCAAAATATTACTCAAGTTCACTGCATCAACAGGGATTTATTCATTCTCATAATGATTGATTTCTTGTTTCCTTCTTTTGACAGAAAAGAAAACAGCTGAGAGGTGGGTTGTGTAGTAAGATGGCTTGTGTAGTAAATCCCTAACTAAAGGAGCAGAGTCTAAGGCCTCTTATATTTTCACCAAAGACAAAGGAGAACTTCAAAGTTTATAATAAGTACCAAAATGAAAATAATTCTGGCTGCATTTAATTGGGGATTAACAGAGAATGCAGAAATTATAACACATTATTAAGGAGCTCTTCCACCTTCTGAAAGATAACGTGCTTTTCTTATAAGAACAAGCATAGTACATTGAAATTTACTTTAAAAAATAAAGCAACTCATCCTAATAAAAATAGAGAAATGTTTTTTCATTAATCTATTAATTTTTCAGAATAAAGGCTTTTTATATTCTTCATTACTCTAAAAGTCAAAATCTCCATTTCAATAGAGCATTTTTAAGAGGAGGTGGAGGGAGGTTCTAATGAATATTTATGCCCAAATCCACCCAGATTTGCTTGGTGATGGGACATAGAGCCTTTTAACGTGCTTTTAAAAGTCTATATGGAGCCCAATGTGAAAAACAAGATTGGCATGACAGTCAAATTGCTAGAGTTGAATGTACCCTAGCAAGACGCTTCAAGGGTCTTAAAATCATTGTGTTCCACAGGAACAAATAGCTTTTCCTCCAAGACACAATACAACAAAACCGGTAGTCATTTAATTGCAGCCTAATGGACCTGAAGGTGTTAGGTTTAAGCCTATGAAGTATTGAGTCAGCAGCAGCCATTGAATTTATGCCTAGTGTCCCATTATTGGAATGCTAAGCATGTGGGAGTTGTTTATATCGTACTGCTCAAGGTCATCACCAAGGTCTGATGGCAAAAATTCAAAAAATTGCAACCTCAGGCATAAATGAGTTAAGAATCTGTATCTACTGTCTGATTATCTGTTCTGTCAGTATGTCAGCAAATTAAACGCCTAGTGTATTAATTTGATGGATATTGGGGATATAGCAGTAAACAAATCATAGGTTTAGCCCTCAGCTTCCAGTTTTCTCTCTCTCTTTTGTGTTTTTCTTTAGGGTCCAGTGGAGAATTTTGAAACCTGTTTTTCAAGAGATTCTCCAATGATGTTAATGAATCCAGTAAAAGATAAGCACCCATGGAGATTATATATATGTATATATATATTTCCCCCTTCAGGTTCAGCTTAAGCATAAATTTATATACAAAACCTTTCTAGATCCCCTAGAAACAATCACCTTAATCAAATTAAGTCAAATTATTATGGATTTCAATATGTTAACATATATTTCCTTCCTTTTTAAGTGTTGAGCTGATTTTGTATAAAGAGTGAGACAAGGGTTTACTTTCATTCTTTTGCTTGTGCTTGTGGATATCCAAGTTTCCCAACACAATTTATTGAAGAGACCATCCTTTCTTTCCCCATTGTGTGTTCTTGGCACTTCTGTTGAAAATTGATTGAATGCATATGTGTGGGTTCATTTCTGGGCTCTCTATTGTGTTCCATTTGTTGATATGTCTGTTTTTATTCTCCATACCATGCTATTTTGATTACTATAGTTTTGTATTATATTTTCAAATCAGATAGTATGATACATCCAGCTTTGTTCTTTTTGCTCAAGAT